TCCCCATCTCCCCTTCCCCCCACCCCCCCACACCCATGCTCCCAACTTTTGCCTGGCAATCTTGTCTACTTCCAATATCCAGGAGGATAACTATATATATGTTTTTCTTTGGGTTCACCTTATTTAGCTTCTCTAGGATCACAAATTACAGGTTCAATGTCCTTTATTTATGGCTAGAATCCACTTAGAGTGAGTACATACCATATTCATCTTTTTGGGTCCGGGTTATCTCACTAAGTAAAGTGTTTTTATTTAATTTGGGTGGCTTTTTAAGAGAATTGTTCAGTGAAGTTTCACCCCTACTTATCCTTTTTCGTATTTGTTAAATGAGATCATTGGATGAGTCCATAGATGACAAGGGTTCAAGCTGTTCTTAATATACCAGGTTACAAGGGGTTAAGACATAACTTTTGAATGTCAAAAAGAAACCTTACTATCTCTTTGAGTTTTAGGTTTACAACTGGGAAAAGTCAAATTAAGGTCATCTGGTTAGTGTGGTTCATCAGTGTTAACATTCTCAATTGAAATCTCTATATAAGATGATTATAGACTGTGTACTCCACCTTTATTGCTTTAGAATTCACAGCCCTTAGCTGGAGTTTTCACAACCAGACGTAATTTGCCTATTTTAAAAAAATTATTATGCCTTTTTCCTCTTCTGGGGACGGTGCTTAGAGGCACTCAGAATGGTCCAGCGTTTGACATCCTACAACACAGCCTCCAACAAAACTAGGCTGTCTCGAACCCCTGGCAACAGGATTGTTTACCTTTACACCAAGAAGGTTGGAAAAGCACCTAAATCAGTGTGCGGTGTGTGCCCAGGCCGACTCTGAGGGGTTCGTGCTATGAGACCGAAAGTCCTCATGAGATTGTTGAAGACAAAGAAGCATGTCAGCCGGGCCTATGGTGGCTCCATGTGTGCCAAGTGTGTCCGTGACAGGATCAAGTGGGCTTTCCTTATTGAGGAGCAGAAAATTGTTGTGAAAGTGTTGAAGGCACAAGCGCAGAGTCAGAAAGCGAAATAAATGTGCGGTTTTTTAAATAAAAAAAATTATTATTGCATAGGTATATGGTAGGGGGTGGTGGATACATATCTCAACATTCACATGGAGGACAGAAGGTGACTTTGTGAAGTTGGCTATCTCTTTATTTTTATATTGTTTCTGCCCCACTTATTTCATTTTCCAAGCGCTCCCCTGACATTTTAATCTATCTTAAGCCTTGGCTACATTATGAGATTTTGTTTCAAAAATCAAAACTAACAAGAATTTTGTCTATACATCAAATTATCACCAAAGAATAATATTGGAAACAGAAAAGAAAAATTACCATTTATTATACAAGGATCCATAATAAAGACTACCAACAGATTTTATAGAAGAAAATCTTTGGACACTAAAAGTCAGTGAGCTGCCACATTGAAAGTGCTGACTGAAAACAAGCTGGAAAACCCCACAAGTGAGAGAGATAATATAAAACAACATGGAAGCTGGAGAGATGATCCAGTGGACAATAGCAGCATACTTCTCTCATACAGGATCTGGATTCAGTTCGCAGCACCCACAGGGAATCTTGCTACTTTATATCACTCCAGTTTAAAGGGATCCGGTCCCTTCTTCTGACTTCCATAGGCACTAGGTATGTAAATAAATCCAAGAAAAACACATGTAAGGAGAAATTTCTTTTTAAGAAAATCTATTAGAGCAGTAAATGCTCTTATGAGACATCTCTCCAGCACCTGCATTTGACTCCTGTCCTTACAGTACCATGTGCTGTATTGGTCTGTAGGGACAGGTACATGAGGTAGGCATGCTAACTCTTTAGATACCAGGTATCTATACAGGGATCCGGTGTACCCACTTCTCTCTGTGAGGAGGGATTCCCCTCTGTATGCTGTGAATATCATTGGTTAATGAAGGAACTGCTTTGGGCCTATAGCAGAGCTATAGGGGAACAGAACTAGGCAGGGAAAACTAAGCAGAATTCTGGGAGAAAGGAGGTGGAGTCAGGGAGAAGCCATGTAGCCCTGCTGGAGCTGAATGGAACTTTACCTAGTAAGCCGCTGCCACATGACAATATACAGATTAATGGAGATGGGTTAAATTAATATGTAAAAGTTAGCCAATAAGAAGCTAGAGCTAATGGGCTAAGCAGTGATTTAAATAATATAGTTTGTCTGATTATTTCAGGGCCCTTCTTACTACATCTCTGTGGGTTCAGGATCATGTCCCAGCTTCATTTATTATCAGAGTTGGAGCAGATCTGTCACCTCTCTTCTAGGATGGTAGTGTAGATTAGGCCCACCTGATGATGGAAAGCAGAGTTGAGATGGCCCTTCTGGGGACTGGGAGTGGAGTAAGAAATGCTTCTTGATACTAAGAAAAAGCTCCAGCTAAGCAGTGTAAGCAGGAAGCCCCAGAGGAGCCACAGTGAATGGAATCTGCAGCAGAGCCCACATGCTTTCCGTGAAGACTTTTCCTGTGGAAGCCTGGACATAAGAGGGACAGTTGAAGCTGCCCTTTTACCATGGCAGATCTCAAGTATATTGGGGAAGTGATTTCATCCAGATGACTGACTGTTTCATTATTGTAAAGCTCTCCCTGGAACTTAGAGAGACTGGAGGTGAGTCAGATAATACAAGTGTAGAGGAAGTAATTCTGTGGGTTCACAGACAGGTGCTGACAAACCAGGGCTTCTTTTTTTTTTTTTTTTGGCATAAATAGGACAGGTTATTTATTTATTATTAATTTATTACTATTATTTTATTATTAGTCAGAAACATAAGAGAGAAGAAATTGTGCTGTTTTACATAGATGTCTTAAAATCTCAGCTCCCTCTGTTTTATTCCAGTTTAAGAACATCACCTTTATAAGTCAGATTCAAAATGGCTCCCATATCCATTGTATGGGAAAATAGATGTTAAAGGAGGGTAAGGGGTACCCATCATTAAATAAGAGAATCTGAGGTTGAGTGAATCATTTATACTTACATTATCTATCTATCTATCTATCTATCTATCTATCTATCTATCTATCTATCCATCCATATACTTGGGTATATTGCCATATATAGCTGTATGGTAATGCAGATTTGATTTTTTCTTTTTTTTCATCAGGCGATGAAAGGAGACAGAGACAGAGACCCACACGGGAGCACCGGACAGAAATCTCAAGGTCCAAATCAGGAGCAGAAGGAGACGGAGCACGAGCAAGGAACTCAGGACCACGAGGGGTGCACCCACACACTAAGACAATGGGGATGTTCTATTGGGATCTCACCAAGGCCAGCTGGCCTAGGTCTGAAAAAACATGGGATAAATCCGGACTAGCTGAACATAGCGGACAATGAGGAATACTGAGAATTCAAGAACAATTGCAGTGGGTTTTTGATCCTACTGCACGTACTGGCTTTGTGGGAGCCTAGGCAGTTTGGATGCTCACCTTACGAGACCTGGATAGAGGTGGGCAGTCCTTGGGCTTCCCACAGGTCAGGGAACCCTGATTGCTCTTCGAGCAGATGAGGGAGGGGGAATTGATCGGGGGAGGGGGAGGGAAATGGGAAGCGGTTGTGGGGACGAGGCAGAAATCCTTAATAAATAAATAAATTTAAAAAAAAATAAAAAATAAAAAAAATAAAAAAAACCCAGGGCTTCTAAAAGCTCAGCAGCCAGAGATGTAGAGTAGAGGCTTTGGTTACTCTCTGCTGTAAGTCATTTTCTCTTTCTGAGATGACCCTGACACAGAAAGACCATCTGTAGACTGTAGACAGAGACTGCGCTTTAGTTTCCTGGTCACCCAGATACGGATAATTTCACAGAAACTATATTAAGTACAACACAGTTTGGCCAATGGCTTAGGCATATTCCTAGCTAGATCTTAGATGAACCCATTTCTATTAATCTATGTATTGCCATGAGTCTATGACTTACTTGTAATGTTCTGGCATCTTTCTCCTTCAGTGGACCCAGATTGGAAGCTGAAGATCAGCTTGCCTTAGCAGATGGGGGTGGGTGATGGGAGTGGCTTGTCTCTTAAAGGGACAGGACAGACCATTACATACCCATCTCTTTTTTAAATAAAAATGCAGGAGGTTAGGCACAACAGGTTAAAGGAATTAGGGCGGTAGATTCTCAAGAGTGCTTCCTGCTTATTTGTGGGTGTCGTCTTGGGGGGGGGGGCTAAGAAAGCTGGGTGCTGGTCACATCCTGGGTAGATAGTCTCTTAATACTTTTTTAAGGTATTGGCAGAACAAAGAACAAAGTTAAGTTTAGGAAAAAAAATTAGGATCAGGAAATTGAGAGTGGTGTATCTGACCTGTTTAAGGTGGATACTTCAATTTGGCTCCCTGGAACTCACAAGAATTCTTTGGGTTTGTGAAAACAGAAGAATTTTACATCTAAATGTCAAATTTGAAGTGGAGAACTTCTAGAAGACACTTGAAACTAGGCCCCTTTGAGTTTGGCAACCTATGTAGTCCTTGGAATTTTTATCTAAGGTCCTGATGTATTGAGAAAGTAAGAGAACACCTTTTCTAAAACAGGGAAATTGCATGGTAGGGTCTTTGGCTGAGGGGTGGCATCAGATCCTGAGAACCCACGTTTTTCTACAGTTGGGGCTGTGGTTATCCATCCCAAGGCCACTGTGGACCTTGTTTATAATGCCCTTGAGTTACCCTGTGTTCCTCTCGTGCAAAATTGTCTGAGTAGCCTCCTTCTGAATTTGTAAAACTGAACCCATTGGTGTTGAATTTGGCACAAATCTCCAGCCAACCTGGATAGGTCTGTCCTAAAAGGGGAAGCCAGAGCTAGGAACTACTGTGCATTGTGCCTTCAGCTCACCGTCCTGTCATTCAGGCCTCACTCTCCAATCAGAGCCTCTTGCGGACCCACCAGTCAGATAGATGGGAGGGTACTTCTGGGAGCCAGGCTTCTGGCTCAGCTTGTTTCCTGTGAAAGTCGGAAGTTACACTGTGTGTTGTGCCTTGGGCTCCATCGTGGGGAGAAAGCGGGTTAGCTTGGCAACTGCACCATGGTGAGTAAAAGAGCCTGTTCTCCACAGATAGGGAGAAGTGGCTGGCCTTGGTGAGAAAGAGGCTGCTGTCTCTAGACTGTGTGGCGCGGCTGACTGAGCTGCGAGAGGTGGTGTGGTGAGTCCTCCCCTGGTTTGGTGGGAGTCTGGGGGCTAGACAGAGTTCGGCGTGTTCCTGCTGGTTCTGTGTGGTCCTGCGTGATCCTTGCAACTCCCTGGCCCAGGGAGGCAGCCCCTGAATAACCTCACTCCGCTGGCTGCATCTGCACACAGCACTGGGAGCAGGACTGTACTTAGAAATATCCTTGTTGTTGACGTCACTATGAAAGGCGCGCTGTAGTCCTTGTATTGTCAGTGTGGAAGGCAAATTTGCCAAGCTCGGAGAACCCTGGTCTCTAGCGTCTTCCAAAAGTTCTACATTTTTAACATTTAACATTTAGGTTTTGGATCCGCCTGGAGTTAATTTTGTGGGGCTTGTAAAGGATTATCTCCTGTGTAGAGTGTTAGGAAAAGACGAGCAGCTCCGCCGGCGCCAAGAAATCCAATCAGGTCAAATCAAACCAAATTAAAACGCCCGTGTTTTATTAAATGCACACTCTCGGGTGGCCGAGAGCACGTGCAAAATCCGGGACCCACGTGTTCTTCCCCTGGACGTAAATACCCGGTGGGAGTGGTCCTGAACCCTCTCTGGAATGCTGGGATTTGGAGTCCAGACCAACGCAACTCCTAGGCCTGGGGGCTGGGATGGATATCAAGGGCGGGGATGACGCTCCCAACTTAACATCACATAGAGTCTAGACTGTGATGTAGAAGAGTAGAATTAATTGTAATAGAATTGATGGTATAAGGATTTACCCGTTCTTAGGAGAACTTAAGTCACAAAGTAGAATTTAGGTAAGGGCGGGCTCCATCCCAAATACCCCTAAGATAAGTAGTACACTAACCATGCCTGTTAGAGAATGGTATGGGAAGATCGAAAGTTTGTTAAACAGTAATTTTTTTTTTTGTTAAACAGTATTAATCACCTTTAGAGCTGAATTCCCATAACAAGGGAGACAACCCTGATTTACAGTCAGCAGAAAGGCCCATCCCTTTGTTAAAAGACAGGCCTCTAAATGCTGTCAAGGGGCCATTCCAGGTACAGTCAACATTAAGTCCTGGTGCGCCATGAAGGTATACTAATTCTAGAACAGCTGCATCTCTAGTCTTTTTGAAAATCATTTAGAGTCAAGGTCTTTCATATTGATTGAGGTGGACTTGAACCCTGTCTGTAGTCCTACAGGGCATTGCCCTTGGCTCTCCTCCCAACTGACCACCCTTAATTCTTAGTTTACAGGTCTGCAGCACCACAGTTCTAAAGTTACCAGTTTGAGTTGCATAGTGGGCTATCCATTGCAGTAACAGGAAAAGGATTTGACCGTGGAGCATGGCTTCTCCCTGTAGAATGAAAGAAGATCAGTGTGCTGTGTACACTGCAGGGGGAAACCGACTAGACAATAGCTTGATCACAGACTGAAGCTGCAGGGGTCTTCATCATAAAGAATGACCTGAAAGGGCAGGGTGAACAACATTCTGTGTAATTTCCCAGCATGCATTAATTTCTTCCATGTGAATGAAGACAGACAGAATTAATGGGTGTACAATTTAGGGAGGGTAGCTTGAGCTATTGAATGTTCAGTTTCTAATTGTGGAACTCTCTTATGCAGATGTGTGCAATCCTGGTTGACACAGTAAGTTAGCTCAGAGGTTTGAGACACAGGCCATTGGCTGGAAACCTGTGTTAGCTTATAGCACTCAGCAGCTAACATTTTACATGGGACAAAGTCATACAGTCTCTTATTAATGGCATTCATTAATACTGGGAACAATATGACTTCACTGGGGGACAAGGCCTGAGAAAAACATGAGTAAGTTTTCCTTTTGGCAAGGCCAAGGAGAATTTAATACATTTTTGATAAGGCCAATATATAGTTTGCTGTCTAATTCTGTGCATGACTCCAGGAGCATATTGCTACCTGCTCTCCTTGCTTTCCTTACAAAAATTATTGTTGATTGCCTTTAGTGTCACTTTCTTAGAGCGATAGATGAAATGAGTATTTTATTAGGAAAACTTTCCCCTGATGATTCTTCTCTGGGTGAGCCAGAGGGGATGTTGTTAAAAATATACAGTGGATCTGATTCAGCTCTTAAAGCCTTTGTTGTTTGAAGTATTACCTTGAATTCAGGATTCTCAAGAACAGGATGCTGCCTTTCCAAAGCACCTTGTGAGTAGTCTGAAAGAGTCACAGTAGTTCAAGACATGACATATTTGCATGATTGTCCTTGAGAGAATGATTCTAACCACAGGAGTCTAAGAGTAATGCAAAAGAATAAATGATATCAAGAGTTAATAGGAAGAATTTAAGAACAAGGAATGAAGTAGTATCATAGAAACCCACAATGCCCTAATTTCTCTGTGTCAATACTGCAGGAGCCAGTGTTGTAGGAAGCTGAGAGGAAGGGGATATGAGAACGAGGAATACCAGCAGTGCCAACTATTAAGAGCAAACTTTTTAGTTATGTAGCTAAAAGGATGACAGGAGGAAGTCTGGTATGTCCCTTATAGGAGACAGCGTAGTATTCAATATAGACTGAGGTTATTCAGCCTTGACTGAGTTGATTTTAGATTTGATTAGAGCTGAAATTCTCTTTTACTTTGCATCATGATGTAACTGCAAATGTTGCCAACTGGACACACTGTTCCACCTGTAGGTGTGCCTAGTTAGTAAATACCTATACTCCTCAAGGTGTTCCACATAATATAAACAGAAGGAACATTGCCAAACTCCTTTTATGAGATTAGTTACCCAGATACTGAAACCACACAAAGACTCAACCAAGAAAGAGAATTACAGATCAATCTCTCTCATGATCATAGATGCAAATGTATTCAATAAAATGCTGGCAAACTGAATCCAAGAACACATCATCTGTGGTCTCTATGTCTACATAACACTTGACCAGGACCTTTTCTAGCTTTCATTGTTTCCACCGAGAAGTCAGGTGTAATTCTAATAGGTTTGCCTTTATATGCTACTTGGACATTTTCCTTTTCAGTTCTTAATATTTTTTATTATGTATGTTTATTGTTTTGATAATTATGTGACAAGGGGACATTATTTTGGTCCAGTCTGTTTGGTGTTCTGTAAGCTTCTTTTACCTTCATAGGCATATCCTTCTTTAGGTTTTCTTCTATGATTTTGTTGAGTATATTTTTCTGGGCATTTAAGTTGGACTTTTTCTCCTTTTATCCCTGTTATTCTTAAGTTTGGTGTTCTAGATTTTCTTTGACCTATGAATCTATTTCCTCTATTGTGTCTTCAGTACCTTAGATTCTTTCTTCCATCTCTTGTATTCTGCTGTTTAAGCTTGCATTTGTGGTTCCTGATCATTTACCCATAATTTCCATTTCCAGAATTCCCTCGGTTTGTGTTTTCTTTATTGTTTCTATTTTGGTTTTCAAGTCTTGAATCATTTTTTTTTTCATCTGTTTGATTGCTTTTTCTTGGTTTTCTCTAAGGATTTTGTTGATTTCTTCCAATTTTTTGTTTGTCTTTCCCCCCACTTCTTTGAGGGAATTTTTCATTTCCTCTTTAAGGGCCTGAAACATTTTCCTAAAGTTATTTTTTTTTGGCATTTTCTGCTTCTTCTGTGTTGAGGTGTTCAAGTCTTGCTGCTGTTAGAGCCACTGATTTTTTTCATGGTGCTGTGTTCCCCTTTGTGTTGTTCAGTGTGTTGTCTACCCATCTTTTCCTCCAATTGGTGTAGTTGGGGTTGTGTCTCTGGTGGTCAGTCTTCCGCGTGCCAGTGAATCCTAGGCTCAGATGGTCTCTCCTTGTGGTGGAGTTAGGGTTATGGTTCCAGTCACAACAGATGTTGCTCAATGGCAGAGCAGAGGTTAGGGGCAGGTAGGTGGGCCTTCCTTGCCTACTGGCTTCAGTGGAAGTTGGGCGTGGGTGGGCAGGCCTTCCTTGTGTGCTGGCTTTGGTGGAGGTCAGGAGTGGGTGGGCCTTCCTTACCTGCTAACTCTAGCAGTGGTTGGGTATGGGCGGGCCGTCCTTGTCTCCTGGCACTGGTGGAGTTCGGGCATGGGCAGGCTGCTGGGCCATCTTTGCTTGCTGGCTCCAGCAGAGGTCAGGAATGGGCAGGCCTCCCTTGCTTGCTGGCTCAGGTGGTGGTTAGTCATGGACAACCAGGCTTTCCTTGCCTGCTAGATCTGGCTAAGGTTGGACATAGCAGGAGGGCCTTCCTTGTCTGCTGACTCTTCCAGAGGTTGGGTGTGGACAGGCTAGTGGGACTTTGCCTGGTGGATCTGGCAGAGGTCCCCAATGTAGTCTTGACCTCCAAAAATAGCAATCCTGCCTCCAGGAATCTCAGAATGAGACTCCAAATCTGTCTTTATAAAGCTCTCATAAGCCCTTTTGTCTGCCTTTCCTCTGGGGTTTCCCTATTATTTTTCAGCAGCCACCATGAGTTCAGCCAACCTCTTACCTTTAAAACCTTCTAGTCTCTGGAACTTATGGTGAATATCTGGTGCTGACTGGTTGACAAAAGCTGGGCTGACTACAGACCAATTCTCTGGTGCTTCCAGATTCCAGGGTGTATAGGTGTTATAAACTTCTGTCCCCCTCTCAGGGAATGCTCCTGGTGTTTCTTCAGGCCCTGGCATACCTGACTAACTTTGGACAGAAACCCCCATTAGAGTCTGGAGGTGGACTTTCAGCCTCTCCCTACATTTTTCTATGTAGAATCCCAACTGAGTCATATCACAGAAAACCCAACATTTATGAGATCTGATTTGGTGGCCAGTCTTCCATCTGAGCCTGGAACCAATTTCTAAGCTTCTGTTCTAATCCTGTCTCTCTCCTCAGTAGTGAAGAGGACTTGGAGCAGTTGAAAACAATCATCCCAAGTTGGTTGGTGAGTGAAAAGAACTGAATACAACAGGTTCAGTGAGCCTTGCTGGCTTCTCAGAAAACTTAAGATTTTATAATTTCCAGTTATAAAGGTTGCTGGTGACCAAGGGCTGGTGACTAGATGTTGCCTGTCCCCAGCATCAGGTTGGTCCACAGCATGCAATGGAAGGGCCACGGAATTCTCCCCAGCTGGTCACTCCTCCTTTTGAGAATGGGTGTGTATGTGGGGAGCTCCTCCATCCCACCCCCTCTGCCTTCCCATACCTCTCATCCTGGGGTACCTGGGGGTAAAGTAGTGGGATAGAAAAGCACCCTTTCTCCCTGTTGCCTGGAGAAAGAAAGGGTACAGGGGCGTGGTAGGCAGTGGTCTGTCCCCCTCTCTCCTTTAAAGAGAATGACCCCATTCCTAACACAAACATTTTGTAGTGAATCATCAGCTTTTTTTTTTAAATAAAATGAACGAGAATTAACATAACATGGCCAAATCTCATACCTCCTCTGGCCTTTTACAACTTACTATACATCCTCAGGTTCCTATCTCTGTTCAGACAGCCTTATCTTTTATTTCTCTTCTCCTTATTATTTTAGTCTCTTGCCTTTTCTCTTACTTTCTAGACATGAAAACTTTTTATCAAAGTTCTTGTGGTTTCCTTTAGTAGTCTAGAATATTGTATGCCTTTAATATTTAAACAAGAACAGCACTCGGGAGGCAGAGGCAGGCGGATCTCTGTGAGTTCGAGACCAGCCTGGTCTACAAGAGCTAGTTCCGGGACAGGCTCCAAAAACCACAGAGAAACCCTGTCTCGAAAAACCACAAAAAAAAAAAAGAACAGAATCATACATATACCAAAGCAGAAATAACTCTAAATTTGCATCATCACAGTAAAACTTGTACCATGAGAAACATCTAAGACTAGCAGTAGGGTTTTCTTTCTTTCTTTCTTTCTTTCTTTCTTTTTTTTTTTTTGAGACAGGGTTTCTCTGTGGCTTTGGAGCCTGTCCTGGAACTCGCTTTGTAGACCAGGCTGGTCTCGAACTCACAGAGATCCGCCTGCCTCTGCCTCCCGAGTGCTGGGATTAAAGGCGTGCGCCACCATCGCCCGGCAGTAGGGTTTTCTTTTTCACCCTAACCAATGATAATCAGCTTCCCCAGCCACCACAGTGATCAGCCATTGGTTCTCTGTTAGGCACCCAAAGTCCTGCCATGTCCTTATCACAGTGATCAGCCATTGGTTCTCTGTTAGGCACCCAAAGTCCTGCCATGTCCTTATCAAGAATGCTTTCACCCCCTCCAGATAATGAGCCCTAAGTCACTGACTTGGGTTTGAAAGTCCTTGGAGCGGTCCAAAATAAGATTCCAGGGAAGAAGTTGAGTTTGACTGACCCACTCCTAAGAGAAGTAAATGAGGTAACATTACAAACAACAGGAAAACACAAAAATAACACTGACAGAAATATATCAGCACAGCACTTAAGAAAGAAACCAGGAACCAAAGCAGGCTGATGGCATGTCTCCCTGGGGAGTTCCGTTTTGCAACAGGTGTGGTTCCCTGTTCAACCAAAGGGACCCTCTGTCCCATCTAGGTGGGCCCAGGACATCTCCCAGCCCACGTGGCCTCTAATGCATCCATCAGTCAAAATCCCAGCCTACAGATTCAGTTAGTTTGAGCCACCCAGATGGGGAAAAAAAAAACAAACCACAAACCACAGAACAAGGGACAGAACAGACCCAGACACAGAGGACTCACTTCACTTACCAGCCAGCCAGGTTATCAGATGCTTATCATGGTGGGGTTCTCTGGGGAACTTTATGGACAATGCACCAATTGTTAGGGTCTGAGAGAAGCCTCCAAGGAAAGACCAACAGCCATGTATGTGATAACAAGAGTGCTTTATTGGTTCCAATGTAGCACTTGGCGGCCACTAAAAAAGGTCACAAGCTCCTTTAAGCAGAGTTTGGGAAATTTCAGGGAGGAGAGACTAATCTGTGACTGATTGGTGGAGGAAAGATTAGTCTCGGGTCTGATTGGTTAGAGGGAGGTCCTAGTGCTTAGGGACCTTCTAGCAGCAGGGTAGGGAAAGCTATCTTTAGTTATCAGGAGACTGGGGGTCATGTGCTGAGCCAGCAGAAGGGGCCATGGGGTGACTGCTGAGCTAGCAGAAGACTGGGATGCCTGCTCCTAAATTGTGGTTTTTCTGATGACTGTCTGTTTAGCTCTGTCCCATTTTAGTGAACCGAAACTAAGGCCTGATCTCTATTAGGGCTACTAGGAGAGCCTGTCTTGGCTCTGATCTACCGCCCCCCCCCCCCCAAGCTTTCTCACTGGTAATGATCTGGGGCCAGGGCTTTGTGGGAGGGGTTGATTCAGATCCTGAGAATCCAACTCTTCCCATCACGTGGAGCTATGGTTATCAGTCCCAAGGCCTCTGTGGGCTTGGTCAGTAATGTTCTTAAGATACACTGTGTTCCCCTTTTACGGCATTATTTTATTAGACCTCCCTGAATTTGTCCCATTGTATGGTAGTTTCTTTTGCAGCCTGGGAGAGTTCAGCTCTCAGGGCTGCACCCAGGGTCACTAAGAAAATACTTTTTAGAGTAGCAGGGCTTAAAACGATTTCCTATTTAAGAAGATTCATACAATCTGAGGGTCATTCCCTTTTATTCTTCTTCAGCTCTAGTTCTCTTCATTGTTTTATTCTCCTTGTTCTCTTTATTCCATTCTGCTCCAATTCTCCACAGCTTATTTCAACAACAAACTTTCTGCAATAAAAAAATTACAAAAACTGAGGGGAGTGAGTAACCATGGCAGTGCCTGAGCTCAAGGTCCCTAGTTTCCCATCCTGAACCTGGGGCCACATTGCCTTGTGAGACACCCTGCTGAGGAATTCATAGAGGGAGTGATTGTGATCTTTATCAGCTAGACTTTTAGTAAGCAAAGAATTGTCATAGTACTTTAGATTGCTTTGTATTAATAGCCTTGGTTAGACATCTACGACTGTCCTTTTTCATGTTTTAAATTACGATGTGTATACAAACCCACTCAGTCTAGTTTGAAATTGCTCTGAGGTTTCAGATCAGCTAAATGTGTGTAGCCTGTCTTAGACTGGGGGAAATTGTTGTTTTCTTATGTTATTCTGAGTGAAAAAAAAAAACAGACCTTATGGGACAATAGATCAGTTATGAAGCATATCCTAGCATATTTCTGTTCTTCAAAATTATACAGGTTAATGAGAAGCCATCTTCCTGACTATCCATGGATATATGTGTTCACAAGATTGAGATATAATCATGAGATTACATATACATATCATATGAGATACACATTATAGTGCAGATATTGGGGAGATACCATAGTTGTTTCTGCACATGTGGAATTACAGAGAAACAACAGTTTCCAGAGTCAGTAGTTCCATAAGCCTTGCTTGAACAAGGTTCTCCTCCATCAGAGAATTATTCATCTGGTGGGTTGACATCAGAATTATCAATTGCTATCTGCTGCATTTGCATCCTGGCCCACAATAGCTCATGACAGTTTCTGCTGACTTCATAAAAATCTCCCATTTCTTTCCATTCCCCCCTAGAAGTAGTATACACGATATTATTCTTTTTAAGAAGCTTACTTGGTAAGAGGCATAGCTTGTACAGGACCATTTCACCCCAGCCTTTATCTTTTCTACCTTCTCCATTTCCTATCTTTCTCATTTCTGGCACCTCCACCTCAGGACCCTGTCACTGGAGAATAACCTGTTATTTTATGTCACTGTTATACTTAAGAAATAATTCTGGGAATATCTTTGCTGTGTAAATCTTCCATGTGCTAAGTTCCTGTCCCTATTTAAATTGTTCAAAGTGTAACCTGGTGCCTGAACCTAAAATAAGAATGACAGGAAGTTTGTAATGCAAAGTCTGTTCTAAGCTGGCTCCTCTTTGAGCATTAGAGTAAGGTGAAGAAGCATACTAGTACTAAAGCAGTTTTCTTTATTAAACTCTTAAGTGTGTAGAGTGATTTCTTCTTGGGAAGGCATATTAATTCTAGAACATCTGCACTTCCAGCCTTTTAGAAAAATATTTCTGAAACAAGCTCTCCTATGTTGTTGACTCCAGTAGCCTTGATCCCAGTCTGTTGCTCTCCAGGTCATTGACCTTGCTATCCTCTATAGTACACTTCCTAAATTCTTAAATGACTGTACTACCTTGGAATTTTCAAATTTTTAAATTATTAACTACCTATTGCAGTCACAGGAAAAGATTTCCATGAGGAGCATGGCTTCTGCCTTCACACTGGAATAGGGAAAATAGTTCATGGTGTACACTGCAGAGGGGAAACAAGGTCAACAATTAGCTGCTGGAGTCACAATTATGAAAAAGGACTTGATTGTGGCAGGGGGAGTAGTTTTGTAATTTCCAAGTGTGTATTAATTCACGTCCTGTGAATGAAGGCAGACCAAATTGGTAGTTTTTCCACATTGAGAAGGTTAGCTTGAGCCAAATAAAGATCTTCCAATTAGGGAACTTTTCTTTCTTTCTTTCTTTCCTTCCTTCTTTCTTTCTTTCTTTCTTTCTTTCTTTCTTTCTTTCTTTCTTTCTTTCTTAAGCATACAATGTACTGCTGGCAAGGAAGGCACCAGGTCTCATTACAGATGGTTGTGAGCCACCATGTGCTTGCTGGGAATTGAACTCGGAACCTCTGGAAGAGCAGCCATTGCTCTTACCCTCTGAGCCATCTCTCCAGCCCTAGGGAACTTTTCTCTGCAAATATGTTCAGTCCTTCTTGACACAAAGACTTTGACTGTTACTCTTTCAGGTTACAGATTTCAGCAGCCAACATCTATCAGTCTCTTATTAATGGCATTCCCTCTACTAGGCAAAGGACTACTCTTTTTCTAAGTCAATATAGCTAAGTTTTTTATCTTAAAAATGAATCATTTTCACCATTTAAAAATGCCAATTACTGGTATCATGTTTGAAAATTTCATTTTTTTTTAATTGCATTACTGTGCTAATCTCTATTTGTTTCTGTTCTCCAGTGTTTCTCAGTCGTTAGGAATTTCATTTCATTTTCTCAAGTACTATTGATTTATTTCTGTTTAGAGCAATGCCTTCTCAATCCCAGGCTTGCACCACACTGTCAAGTTGATAATTGACTTGAATACTTACTCCTTCCTCTGCTGTCCAGTGCTGGGAAGACAGTTCTGCAGCTCCTTCCAGGCTGGGCCTTGACTGGTAAGTAAGAAAGAAACATAGACCAGTTAATGAGTGTCCTGCAACATCTCTGGCTTTTATTTGGGAAAATGAAGAGTGACCTGTTCAAGAATTGAGTTCAATGACCAACTTTGAAGCTGATGTAGTCACAGTGCAAAAAGGGAGGGATAGGATGGAGGTTGAAAGCTTTCCTGCTTTGCAGTAGTTGAGGTTAGCAATGTGGATCAGGTAGTCAGGTTTAGATAATCAACAAATATCCTGACTGACCATTTACTGGTGTTCACAGATGAGGGCAATCAAGAATCAGGATAAAATCTGACCCTGTCAAATTACTATAGTTACACTTGTTCAAGTAAACTAGAAGATCTGGCTAAATTATGTGGCTATGATTTGAGATGCACATCCTGGGAGCAAAGGTTGAGTAACCTATCATGTGCTCTCTTTCAAATCCCTAGTCTCTGGAGAACATGGTCATAAAGCCTGTTTCAACTTTTCAAAATAATTCTTTGAGATTATAACTACATCATATATAGTTTCTTTCCTGCCTCTAAGCCCTACCATGACCCTCATTGTTTTCTAACTCATGGCCTCTTTTTGCTTTAACAATTAGTTACACAGTAACAACAGTTACTGTTAGAGGGTGACTTGTGTTTGGCTGCACTGGACATTGAGTGTGTAATGGAAGGTGTACAAGACTGGAAGAATTTCTACTAAATTACAAATTTCCTAGACCATGGCCCTGTCTGCGTCTAGGAAGGGGAGAAAAGGAGTTTCTGAGCTGCAGAGATTTTTCTGTTATGCTTGGTGTTAGTTGGGTGGATAAAATAGATTCCACAACTTGTACCATAATCTATGTTGCAGGAAATAGACATTAGATTATTCTTTGACATTGTTTAGTGTGTAGGGCATCTTTGAGACTGAGTTTATCTGAAACCTCAAGGGTCATGAGAGTTTTCAGAGCCATAGCAGGAGATTACCTCCATTTGTAGAGTGGGCTCTAGAACATGGGCTTCTCTTTGGAAGAAATATCTGTAGCTGGAGAGTCAGAAACATAACAAATTTAGTGTCTGTTTGAGTTAATTTGGTAGGTGTTATAAAGTCTGTTTATTTAGTTTTTATATGCATAGAATCGTAGGTAGTTGGATAACATTGGTCAACATCACACTTTTTCTGGCTGAGCTTCCTTTAGTCTTTTGATTAAAAGTTGACCATATCTTTCTGCTTGGTTTTTTCTCACCATCCTTTTATTCTTTCACAAATATTGTACACATTCTTAATTGTTGTAACTTTGTTGTAAGTATAGAAGTCACATTGTGTCAATGTGTGTAGTATTTTTCATTGAGGATTCTTTGTGTTTCCACTTTGCATGTAGCTTTGTAATCAGCTTTCCTGTTATAAATTGTTGGGAATCTTCCTTGGATCATATACAATTCATGCTGCAAATTTACCATAGACAACATCTTAATATTGTTACAATGTATTTCCAAGGGCCATTAATTTACTTCTTTATTTATTTAGGTTTTTTATTGTTGTTAATTTATGAAAGACATTTAGTTATTGGGTAAAAATACTATGGTGCTGAGCAGGTTGCTCAGCAAAAATTCTTCTTGGGGATGACCTGAGTTCATATCCCAACACCTAAGTTGGGAGGCTTATAACCACCTACTACTCGAAATCCAGGGGATCGGACACCCTCTCTTTAGTGGTTACCTGCAGACACATGAAAAATTGGTCTCTCACATACAAACAGACACAAAAAAATGGGGATAAATTCATTTTCAAAATTTCTTGTGACTTACAAAACAATTAGAAAAAAACAAGTTGCTTTGGATATACAATACAAATCATACACTGTTTCTTTAAAAATCTGTTATCGTGCTTTTGGTTTGGAAGACTTTCCATTTCCTCATCTGATACAGACTTACATCCATTCATCTGTCTTGGGAAACAAAATGGTTTTCAAGTGATCCTAACAAATATCCTTTTCTTTACCTTAAGAAAATGAGGTCCTTTTAGTACACAAATCTATTTTCTACAAAGTTAAAACTTCAGACGACTTCGATTGAATTTTTCTAGTTTTGGTTGAACATCCCTCTTTGAACAACCCATTTTCTACTATTAGCAAAGGAGAGAACTGGAGTTCACAAGATGAGTGCTAGCCAGTGATTTCTTGGATTTGGATTTTAATTAGAATCTTGCAGTTATTGGTTAAAGGACCATGGTATGTATTTGCAGGTGTAGCTTTGTGTTTTTGTTTGTAGTGCCATCTATGTTGCTGATTTTATTAGTTATCATCTAATCATATTGTTGTTTCTCTGGAAAATGATGGGCCTTCACCTGCTTTTGTATTCAAAAAATTTGCTACATTATATTTTGAGTTCCTTGAGTTTTTGTTAGTTTGGGAACTTTCTGTGGAGAGATAGTTTTAGTTTTCTTGATCTTAGAGGCTTGCCTTTCCTCATTTCTTGGCATATATTTGTTTCAAGTTGTTGCTTTTCTATGTTTGGGTATTTGCTGCTTAAATAATTGCTATGGTTAATACATTGGTTTTGTTTTTTTTTTAAATATTTATTATTTGTTTATTATGTATACAGTATTCTTCCTGCAGGCCTCATTACAGATGGTTGTGAGCCACCATATGGCTGCTGGGAATTGAACTCAAGGACCTTTGGAAGAGCAGGCAATGCTTTTAACCGCTGAGCCATCTCTCCAGCCCTGGTTTTGGGTTTTTAAAACCATCTCATGTTATTGTCTCCTCATATTAATTAGCTTTATGTGTCAGTAAAGACATCATCTGAAGTAACATCAATTGAAGTCATTCCCCATCAGAGTGGCTGGTTGCTCTCTGTTAGACATTGTGTTGATTGATGAGTGCTGTGGGTAGCTCTTCCACTGAGATTGCAATACTCTAAGCAAGAGGGCCTGAGATGAATAAAAGGGGTAGTTGAGAATGAGACAAGTGACCAAACAAGAAAAATGTTAGCAAAGTTAGCCCATGTTTTTTGCCTTCAGCCATGAGCTTGAGTTTCCATTCTAAGCTCCCACAATGGTAGATTGTGATCTGGCAGAATCAGCCAAATAAACCTGCTGTTTACCTGAGACTCTTTTGGTCAGAGAATTTAATCACTGCAAGAAACAAGCAAGTTAGAAAAAAAAATTGGTGCATCAAAGGTGATTTTCTTATTGCAACCAACCTGGGAATGTTGACTTTTGAAGAATGTTGAATAGGTCAAGACTTTAGATGACAAAAAACATAGAAAGCTTCACACAGAGCTTAATCATCTGTTCTTGTAGGACTTGAAACTTGGGAGTGTTTTGAGTAATGCAGGCAGTAAGTTTTCAGTGGAAAATAGACTTCATGGAAAATTTAGCTAGTGGTCATTCGTATAATATTTTGTGTCAACGTTGTTCTTATTTTCTCTATTCCCTGAGAGATTGAGTAAGGAAGAATTAAAAACTAACTGGGCTGATTTCTTAGATGAAGTATTAATTATGAGTTATTACTCATTTAGGTCTATAGTGAAAAACAAGTGGGGTAGAAAGAAATGAAAAGTCCGTGTTTTGTAGAGAAAAACAGCACTAGGTACTTTGAGATGACAGTCCAGTAGTGAAACAGAGGTAGGAAATTTCAAGGTGTTTAGCACCATTGAAGAGAAGGCCCTTGCTCTGCATTGGAAGCCAAGGAAGGTACCCTAAGGGTCAGATCCCATCCAGTTAAACTTTCAATTTATGGGAGGAATAGACAAAGTGATTCCTCGTCTCAAGAAGCAACTTCATACAGAATCTGCTGCAACTCTGGTCCAATTATTGTAGGGCCCATCACAACTTGGAAACCAAATTTGGTGGCTCAGCAATGTACTAGTTATGGAAACAAGAAAGATGCAAATTTTAAAGGTCATGGATTCTTCCTCTGTGGTTCCAGTTCAGCACTGTTGTACACATCTTTGGCAAAGTCAGAAACCCAGTGAGAGACTAAGAATTCATTGTATAATTCTCTGAAAATTAAGTCTGTGTTGTATTTTGAGATTATAGGATGTTGAGATACCCAAGCAATAAGACATCTGCCATGGAGAGTTGCATGCAAGTGTGGAAGTAGAAAAGCAGACACAGGTGTGAACATTTTCAGAGACAGAGCTATCAAAGCCCTTTGAGAATGAAACTCCACCTGTCTGTGACGGAGCTACAGGATTTGGTATTTGCCCTGCTGAGTTCAATCCTCCCTCACTTATCCACATTCCTTTATTTAAAAAAAAAGTTTATTCCTCTCTCATGCAATACAAATTGATATAGGAAATTTCAAGGTATTTAGCACCATTGAAGAGAAGGCCCTTGCTCTGCTTTGGAAGCCTATTAAGGTACCTCAAGGGTACCTAAGCCTTCAATTTATGGGAGGAATAGGCACACAACTTCTCATACAAACTGATTACAGTTCCCCTCCCTCTACTCCTTCCAGTGCCCTCCCCACTCCCCTGTCCCCCAGATTTACTCCTCCTCCATATCTCTTCATAACAGAGCAGATATCATAAGAATATCAACCAAACATGGTATAACAAATTACAAGACTAGGCATAAACCCCTGTAAATGGAGACTACTTATTCATTTCTTGACCTCCCAGATCCAAATAATCACTCAAAAACTATATTGATTACAACATTCGCCAATAGCTTAGATGTATTCCTAACCAGCTCTTATATCTTAAATTAACACATTTCTATTAATCTGTATATCGCCACGAGGCTGTGACTTACCAGTAAGGTTCTAGCATTCTTCTTCTTCTTTTTTTTTTTATTTTTCGAGACAGGGTTTCTCCGTAGCTTTTGGTTCCTGTCCTGGAACTAGCTCTTGTAGACCAGGCTGGCCTCGAACTCACAGAGATCCGCCTGCCTCTGCCTCCCGAGTGCTGGGATTAAAGGCGTGCGCCACCACCGCCCGGCACTAGCATTCTTCTTCTTAAACAATTACATGATATCACTTTGACTCCTCCTTTCCTCCTCTCTCTCTCCTTGGAATTCCCACCTTGCTATATTCTGCCCTGCCATAGGCCAAAGCAACTTCTTTATTAACCAATGGTAACAAAACATATTCATAGCATACAGAGGGGAATTCCACACCAAACCCCATATGAAGCCTTGACTAGGAGGAGAAAAAGGGTCCTAAGAGCAGAAGAAAGAGTCAGAGACACCCTCCCCTTCTCCCACTGTTAGAAGTCTCACAAATACACCAAGCTACACAACCTTAATGTATATGCAGTGGACCTTGCTAAGACTCTTGAAGTCCCTATGATTGCTGCATTAGTCTCTGTGCACCCGCACAAGACCTCTTTAGTTGCTTCTGTGGGATGTGTTTTTCTAGTGTCCTTTAGGAAAATTTTTGACTTAGATGCATTTGAAAATATTCTCTGGGCCTTTGAGCTGGAATTCTCCCCCTTCGTTTCTATTTTTCTTAGCTTTGATCTTTTCATAGTGTTCCAGAGTTCCTGAATGTTATATTTCAGGAAACTTTTTATATTTAACATTTTCTTTGACTGGATACATCCATTTCTTCTGTTGTATCTGCATTGCTTGAATTTCTCTGTTCCATGTCTTGTATTCTTTTTTTGAAGCTTGACTTTATAATTCCCATTCGCTTACCTAGATTTTCATTTCTAGAATTCCTTCAGATTACATTTTCTTAATTGCTTCTCTTTCCATTCTCAGGACTTGAACAGATTCATTCATTTGTATCAACTTTTTTTCCTTAGCTTTCTTTAATGTATTTATTCATTTCCTTTTTAAGGACCTCTATCATCTTCATAAAGCTGGTCTTATTGTCTTTTGCTTGTGTTTCAGTTGTGTTGAAACATTCAGGGCTTGCTGTCATAGGATAGCGAGAATCTGGTAGTGACGTATTGCCCTGGCTGTTGTTGATTGTGCTCTTACTCTGGTGTCTAGGTATCTGGCTTTGAGGTGCTTATGGGTCTAGGTGCTGATTTCTCAATTTGTCTTTGTTGGTTGAGTGTTTTGTTCCTCGGTTTCTATCTGCTCTCTGATCTTCTGGTTTGTGTGGCCTATGGTTAGACATGCATTCCCCCCTCCCAAGATAGGGGCTGGAAATCTGGCAGTAGGCGTGGCTATAGTTCCATCAGAGAGTCTCTGTCCAAGTTATGGGTTGAAAAAAGCAAAGAGGGGTGGGTCTTGAGGATAGTGTTGAAGGGACACTGAGAGAGTGTGGGAGCTCTGCAGGAGGGTGGCCTACATGAACTTCTGGCAGACGGTGTGTCCTTTGTTCAAGCAGGGGTCTGTGTCCAAGTTGGGGGCTAACACACAGTAATGAGGAGGGATGGTGTCTGGGGGTTCTGATGAAATGCTACAGCAAGTGAAAGCACTTAAGGTATCTGAGGGTGAACAAGCTGTTCCAAACAGGTCTCTTTTCTTCTGCCTCTTCCAATTCTTTCATAATTCTAATACCTCCTCGCTTCTTCTCTAGTCTAAAACTTCCTCTCTTTCAGGAAGCTTGAAGCTAAAGAAAAAGTTACCTCTCATTGGTCAAAAGCACATTCCTAGGGTAAGTGATAAGAAATTGAGCCAATGACCATGGCAACAAGGTTTCAGGAGTAAGGCTGTGATCAGAGAAAGCAGGAACACAGTGCACAGTGACAAACTTTGAGACATAGGTGTCTATTTCGAGCTAGACTTAGCAAGTGAAGAATTGGCAAGCCTTTCTTAGGGTGTTTTGTGTTAGCAATCTTGGTTTGGACACCTGCAACTCTGACCTTGTTGCTCTGGAGTAGAAACCTATCAAGGTGCCCTAAGGGTGAGACTCCACTCACTTTTAATTTATATAAGGAATAAGCATAGTGTTTCCTACTCCCAGGAAGCAATTTCATACAAAACCTGCTGCACCTGTGGTCCAAGTATGTTAGTGTCCATCCCAATTAAGAAGTCAAATTTTGCAAGATCACCCTTGATGTGGCAGCCCTGGAAACAAGAAAGAATCAAAATTTAAGGTTATGGATTCTTAGTCTGTGGTTTCAGTTAGGCATTGATGCAGGCATCTATGCTTAGGAGTGACAGAAACCCAGTATGGATACTGTGAGAGTCCATTGCATGAAGCTGTGAGGACAAAGCCTGGGTTGCATTTTGAGACCACAAGATGTTGAAATACCAAAGCTGTAAGATACCTGCCATGGAGAGGTAGCTACATATATGGAATAGCAGTACACACAGAGATGTATGAGAAGTTTCAGGGATAGGGCTATCTACGCCCTTGGAAACTGAAGCCCCATGCATCTGAGACAGAGCTGTAGGATTTGATGTTCTGTCCTGTTGTGCTTCAGTCTGGCCTTCACTATGTTTCCATTCCTCTCTTTTGGCGTGCAAATGGATATTCGGTGCCATTGTTGTATATTGGAAAGATGTAACTTTTTTCTGATTCTACAAAATCTCACAGACAAGAGATTGCCTTGAGTGTTGGAAGATACTTTGGACATTTTCAACAGTGTAGGGGCTGTTGCAGAATATGAAAATCATTGAAGTAGGGGCTGGAGAGATGGCTCAGAGGTTAAGAGCATTGCCTGCTCTTCCAAAGGTCCTGAGTTCAATTCCCAGCAACCACATGGTGGCTCACAACCATCTGTAATGAGGTCTGGTGCCCTCTTCTGGCCTGCAGGCATACACACAGAAACAATATTGTATACATAGTAAATAAATAAATATTAAAAAAAAATCATTGAAGTGACTAAATGCAATTTCTTCACGGATGACATGGGTCAGAATCCCTAACACTTTGTAAGAATTTTAGCATAAACAAACAAACAAACAAATAAATGTGGGCTCTGAGATCTATCTTTTTTGTTTCTTTGAATGATTTTTACCCAGGAGTCCAGGTCTTAATATGTACTTCTGAACTGATGCATAGACTAGGTTGGCATACAACTCAGGGGCAGATAAACCTGCCTCTGCCTTCTGAGTCCTGGGGTTAAAAGGCATGAGTCAATATGCCCAGATTGCCCATATTATTTTTCGGTTTTTGTAGTTAGTAATTGTTTAAATAATTTCTCTAATATGTACTTTGTACTGTTGATTGTTTACTTGTCTCTTTATGTTTGTTTATAGTCATTTTTTCTTGCAAGGTGATAGCCCATTCAAACAGTACAGAAATGTCAGAGGTGAACCTCCTATTCAGTTTCCTTCTAAACTAACTTGGTAAACATATTATAATATCCTTGTCATAGAATAAGTATGGGGAGCACCAGAATTATATGACTATGTTGTCAAAGAATTATACATTTACAATGTTGTCAGTATCACAGTTTTTGTTGTTTACATGTGTGGGGTGTTTTAGAATACAGTGACCTATGATGATTTACATATCGACTTCACTTGGAAAGAATGGGCTTTGCTGGATCCTTCCCAGAAAAATCTCTACAAAGATGTGATGCTGGAGACCTACAGGAATCTCGCTACTATAGGTAAGACTGAATTTTCCTTTATGTTTTCAAATAAAGGGACAACTGTTCCTTGGTTATTAATGTTCTTCTGTAATTTGATTGAGGAAGAGGACGAATGAGGTATGTTACAGGAATTCTAATTGTTCTTAATAAAAACCCAGAGACATATTGGGGTTAAAGGTGAAGATCAGAGAAGTAGCTAGAGAGTTCCCACCTCTATCAATAGTCAGACCGAATGGACAGTCCTGTCCTCAGAATGACTGCAGACTGCATTGAGCTCCTGTCTCCTCCCCCTTTATATTCATCTCTAGTGCTGGGATTAAAGGCATGGGATCCCAAGTGCTGAGATCATCTTTTATGAGCTCTGTTTCCCTTTTTGACTGGATCGGTTTTGTGTAGCTCAGGGTGGGCTTGAACTATCAGAGATCTATCTGCTTCTGTCTCCCAAGTGCTGGGATTAAAGGTGTGTACCACCACTGCCTGGCCTCTTTGGCTAACTAATATGGCTATTGATATTAATGGTGTGTAGCACCACTGACTGGCCTCTATGACTGTGTCTAGCTTTGTGCTCTGATCTTCAGGCAAACTTTGTTAGATCATAAATAAAATATTACCACAGAGGTGAATAAATCAGGCATGGATCTAGGGTTCACTGAAGATGGTAACTTAAGTTTTACACAATTTTCAATAATATACCATACACTTTCTTGTACTATATTTTAGGATACAATTGGGAAGACCATAGAATTGAGGAATATTATCAGAATTCTAGAAGACAAAAAAGGTAATTTTTATGTGCAAGATGATACAAATGTGCCTCTGAAGAAATTGTAATGTGTCCTTGAAGTTTTAAAGAAAAGGAAGCATGTAAATAAGCACAACTTAAAAGTGTATGGATATTTACAAAATTCTCATAAAACCATATACCTCAATTTCAGAAAGATGAATTGAGTTTGCCAGGCATTCCACTCAGGAAGAAGACAAAGAAACAATGCCTTACCAGATATCACCATTTGATCAAAGCCTCATTATAGCTATGGTATAGAACTGCCAATCCATTTAGTTTTGTACCACTCATGTTACAGAAGGCACACACGTTGAAGAGGTGATATGTATATGTCCAAACCTTCTAATAAGCAAATGGTCCGTGGTAAAGCAATGTTACTCATATACTTGTTTTAACTTTACTAAGTTAAATGAGAAGAGCAGTTGGAGTCAAAAGTCAAGGGGTGTTTGTTGTGGAGAAACCTTAAACACTATACCACATTTATGAGGAACAGAAAGTAAAACTATAAATTCAATGTGGAAATCATTTATTTGTTATTTTTCCTTTACTAGGTATATCATATGTCACTCTGGATACAAGACATATGAGCATAGGGACATGGAAATATGTAACATAACCCTTCTCAGAATGATTAGAAGATTTGTAGTAGTCCCCACTTTTGAGTAGATTTGTTAAATTTGATTCAGGTATATAAGTGGTTGGGTTTGCAACTTTACTGTTAATACATCAACAAAAATCACACTGCAGAAAAGCCCTTTGAGTGCTAGGAATGTGTAAATAATTCCTTTTGTCCTAGTTCACTTAGCTATCACTCACAGCATAGGAAAAATTTTGAATGCAAGAAGTGTGGTAAAGATCTGAGTTTTTCCAGTTCTTTTCAAATATGTAAAAAAAAACCCCATTTAGAAAGAAAGATTCTATAAATGTAATAAAGGCTTTTACTATTACAGTTATCTTCAAAGATGCAAAACAGCCCTTAATGAAGTGGAAAAACATGAGTGTAAATAAAATGATAAAACCTTAAGATCTCATTCCTCTTTACAATCAGACTAAATTGATGAAATTAATTTATACAAATATGAAGATTCAACAGTGTAATGAATGTGGTAAAACTTACATGTGCCAATTATTCTTGCAGGTCTGAAAGAAGTCATACTGGAGGGAAAACATCTAAATATACTCTATGTGTTAAAGGCTTTGCAAATCATAGTCATCTTCAAAGGCTTGAAAGAATTCAGACCGGAAAGAAACCCTATAAATGTAATCAATGTGGTAAAGCATTTGCACATCGTGGTAGTTTTCGAGTCCATAAAAGAATGCATACAGGAGAGAAACCCTATAAATGTAATCAGTGTGGTAAATCCTTTGCATGCCCCAGTAATCAACGATTACATGAAAGAATACATACTGGAGACAAACCCTATAAATGTGATCAATGTGGTAAAACCTTTGCACGTTCTTCTAATCTCCATATACATAAAAGAACACATACTGCAGAGAAACCCTATGAATGTAATCAATGTGGCAAAGCCTTTGCACGTCAGAGTCATCTTCAATGCCATGAAAGAACACATACTGGAGAGAAACCCTATGAATGTAACCAGTGTGGTAAAGCCTTTGCACGTCACTTTACTCTTCAGATACATAAAGGAACACATACGGGAGAGAAACCCTATGAATGTAATCTGTGTGGTAAATCCTTTGCTTGTCACCGTACTCTCAAATTACATAAAAGAACACATACTGGAGAGAAACCCTATGAATGTAACCAATGTGGTAAAGTCTTTAGATATCGCTGTAATCTTCAGATGCATGAAAGACTACATACTGGAGAGAAACCCTATGAATGTAATCAGTGTGGTAAAACCTTTACACATCACAGGCAACTTCAAAGTCATAATAGAACACATACTGGAGAGAAACCCTATGAATGTAATCAATGTGGCAAAACCTTTGCATATCCTAATGCTCTCCAAATACATAAAAGAATACATACTGGAGAGAAACCATATGAATGTAGTCAATGTGGTAACACCTTTGCACATTACAGTACTTTTATAAGACATGAAAGTACACATACTGGAGAGAAGCCCTATGAATGTAATCAATGTGGTAAAGCCTTTGCACGTCAGAGTCATCTTCAAAGCCATAAAAGGACCCATACTGGAGAGAAACCCTATGAATGTAACCAGTGTGGTAAAGCCTTTGCATATCAACATAATTTTCAAATACATAAAAGAATACATACTGGTGAGAAACCCTATGAATGTAATCAGTGTGGTAAAGGTTTTGCATGTGTCAGTACACTTCGGAGTCACGAGAAAAAATACTGCAAAGAAACCCTATAAATGTAGTCTGTTTGGTAAAATTTGCCCTTTATATAGAAGTAAACTTTTTGTGTGCAATCTGTTAAAGCCTTTGCATATTATATCAATATTTGTGTACCTAAAAAAAACCTAATAATGAAAGGGCTTCTTACTATAAAGTATTTGGTAAGATTTTTAGCCAACACACCTACATGCAGTTATACAAGAGTATTCAGGGGAAAAACAATTGACAATGTCAGCAATCTGTTCAAGCATTGTGGTGTTCATCTTTATTTTGTTTGTACCTGCAAATCCTTGTTGGGGGGAGACCCTTTGAATTTAAATGATAAGGTAACCCTTTTGTATTTCATACTTCTCTTTAAGTACATGTAATAACCAATTCAGTTGTAAACCTTTATGGATTTGTGGTAGTGCCTTTTCTGTTGTGATAAAATATGTCTGCATCAACTTATGAAAGAGTTTAATTTGGTCCTTGGTTCCAGAGAGATACAGGATCAACATGAAAGTGGCAACAAGTGTCAGATAATATCAGTTAAATCAGGAGGCTAAGAACTCACATCCTTAATTTGTATCATGAAGAGTGGGAACTGGAGGGTGTGACTGTAAATTCTCAAAGCATACCCCCAGTGACAAATTTCCTCCAGCAGGGCAGCATTTCCTAAATCTTCCCAAATGATGCCACCAACTGAAAAGGACTAATTTCTCTGACTTCAAGCCTACATACTTGTTTTCTGTTGTATGAACCAATTCATGATGAAGAAAAATTCTTTAAATAACCCTTTAGATGCCTCAACATCTGTGTCACAAGAATAAATGCTTATAAAAATTTTCATGAGTGAAATTTTGTTTAAAGATTTGTTTTAATTTTAATTATGTGATGTCACTGTGTATTTGTTTGAGTATATGCATTTGTATGCTGGTTCCTGAGAAGGTTAGACCCTCGGATTGTCTTGTAGCAGGAATTACAGGAAGTTGTCAAAAACCAGACCTTAGTCCTGGGAATGAACTTTTCTTAACTGCTCAGCCATGTCTCTAGCTCTGTAATATTTTAAAGCCTATTTGTATAATTTTGAACTAAGGAAATAAGGAAGAGCTCATACATGGGGAAAAAACCTGTTCATGTAAATGATTTCATAAAGATTTTAGACCTCACAGTTGTCTTCTGGCTCAGGACAAAAAGTTTGTTTCATTTCTTATTCATATAACCTTCAGGGATTATGAACCTTACCATGTTCACTGAAGACAGACGGTGGAGATCACTGCATTGTGGTTTCTATTTTGTTTTATTTTTTTTTAAAGATTTATATATTATATATACAACATTCTGCCTTGATGTATGCCCGCGTGCCAGAGGAGGGCACCAGATTTCAGTACAGATGGTTGTGAGTCACCATGTGGTTGCTGGGAATTGAACTCAGGACCTCTGGAAGAGCACATTTCTCTCTCGCCTGTGGCCTATCTACCAATGCTCAGGAACCTGACTTTTCCTGCTGCAGCCTGACATTGAGGGGACTTGTGACTGAGGGGAAGCTTTGGGTGTCCTTATCCTGGCCACCAACTGGTGGGGGTGGTTTTTCTGTCTGTGTGTTGCCTTTGTTGGTTAATGAATAAAGAACTAGCTTGGCCTATAGCATCTGAGGAGGAAGGCAGAATCATACAGAAGCCATGGAGCTACAGAGACAGATGCTGGGAACTTTAACTGGTAAGCCACAGCCACATGGTGATACACAGATTAATAGAGAGAGGTGCCGGAGACCAAGGCGGAAAAGGTTGAGGAGCTCGTGCCCAGCGCCACCACTACCACCACGGGCAACATGCCCTCTGTCCCGAGTAGGAGGGACCAACCTCCCTTTGCCAACTGTCTCATGTAGCTGTTGAACAGCCAGGGACATCTGCTGAGTACACAGTCTGATTTATATTTACACTAAATAACTGCTTTTAATCCGAGCAACTCCAGCAGCTGATTGCCTACCCTGTTTCCCCCTGCAGTGTACACAAGAAATTAATTATCCTCTTCTGGTCTGAATACAGAAACCATACTTCACATGTAAATCCTTTACCTATTACTGCAATGGACAGTTTACTACATGACCCAAAGGGTAAATTTAAAACTCAGTTGCCACACCAACTCCAGTGTCATTTGTGTGACATGACATACGTCATTATGCCGGAGAGGAGTTACATGTCCTATGGGACTAGGCTTCCTGGAGGTCAATGGCAGATGGCCTGGTACTAGCCACCATTGAGGCATAGATGGGTTTCTCGATTAGCTGGCTATGTGAGATATGGGCTTTGTATTGTTGGGCCCTAAAGCCCCACCGAGGAGGAGGTCGCCCCAAGAGACATTCTCAGCATGGTTGATGCAATAGCAAGAGGAATTTTTATCCTGCCACAGCAGAGGTCCCTCAGCCTCGAGAGGAGAAGGATGCCCGCTTTGTCTATTACAAGCTCTTTTAAAGGAAAAACCACAAAATCAGGGAGGGGGTAGTACAGAATAAAAGGGAAATGGCCAAAAATCATTTGTCAACTATTTTGACTAGTTTATTCAATGGTCAGCTAACTCTACTCGATCAATGTTATGGCGATTACAAGGAGGAACACCTGCAGGTCGTCTCACCCCAGTTCCAGGGTCCGGGTCTATTGATGAAAGACTACAATGGGGATGGAAAGTACTCAAAAAGCTCCAGTGCACGCGAGGTTGGTTACCAGGGTCCTGGTTTCCAGGAGGGGGGGGTGCAGTAATGCTAAGGTGCCTCCTAATGCTAAGGGCCTGGTTCCCAGGAAGGGGGGGTGCAGTAATGCTAAGGTGCCTCAAAATCTTTCCCCCCTTTGATTTGGTCAAATCTCAATCTTGAGATTCTCAGGGATTATCCCTAAGGGCATGATATTGCTGGGTCAACACCAAAGCTTGAGTAATGGTAAGTCGCTTGCGAATGAACATCAGGAGTCGACTGAGGATACAGGGCCCAAAGGTTAGTATGAGTAATAGAATGATCAAGGGACCAGTGATGGTGGAAATGAGTGTCGTGAACCAGGGGGAGCGGTTAAACCAGCCTTCAAACCAATTTTGATGTGCCTCTCTGCCTCTTGTCTAACCTGTCTCTGAGTTTAGCCATTGAATCCTTAATTATCCCAGAGTGATCTACGTAGAAACAACATTGTTCCTTTAGGGTAGCACAGAGTCCTCCTTCTTGAAGAAATAGCAAGTCTAACCCACGCCTATTTTGTAACACTACCTCAGAAAGAGAGATTATTGAATCTGCAAGCTTGGTGATAGATTGTTCTAGGGTCCTTAAGTCCTGGTCAATAGAGCAGGATAATAAAAGACCCTTGGAACTAGTCGAACGAGCACACAGTAATCTTTGGTACCATCAAAAACCGATGTTGCCATGCAAGGCGTCAGGCCTGTACCACAAGCCCACCATTTATCTGAATCAGGGATCAGGTATCCAGTTTTAGAAGTTTTAGGGCTCTTAAGGGTTTCATTACATAAATGTTTGTAAGAAGCCGGTGGATTTCCCAAGCATGTCCCTGCACCAGTAACCTCTGTAAGAGTTAGTTTATGACTAGTTCCCCAAGCACAGCCGTCCTGGCTAGTTGTGTTGTTGAAACCCCCGGATATTGCAATCCCTTCATAGTATGGGAGTCCTGCTGATAGGCATAGCCAGCAAGATTGTGTCATATTGGGGTCAGTATTATTCAGCAAAGAAAAAGCTCCCACTATTAGATTAAACAGTTGCTGGCCTGTATTAGAGAGTGCCAGTGGTGAAGCAAGGGTATCAGAGGGATTTTTAGGACGTGGAGGGGGACCCAGGGCCTGGTAAGGGGGGGGGGCTACCTCAGCCAGGGCTAGGTGTCCCTGGTCAGGCAATACCGGGTTGGGCCCTAGTGCTATGGTCATTGGAGGCATTATAACAATTCATAGGGTGAACAGAATCCCTATGTCTTCCCCTCCGGGATTATACAACCGTAAACCCCAAGTATTACCTGTTAACCAATTAACTTTTTTTCCCCTTCTCCGTGAAGGTGATTGTGATTTCAGATTCCCCTGATGTGGTACGAGTGAAAGAGACTAAGTCCTCTTTGCCAATTCCCAACCAGGAGGTACTGACACTGGTTTCACATCCCCAGGCAGCACAATAAAACATTTCAGCCCCCCCCCCCACACACACTGCCAAGTTCGTCTTCCCCCAGGACAAATAAGAATTCTCGAGAGTTCGTTCAGTATCCCCCCAAGAGTCCTTTGTTAGAGCACATAGGTCAAAATTTATCTGGGGGAACCAGGTATCCAGGGGATGAACTCCAGTGGCTAGCCTTAAGACTTGCCCAGTCTCAAAGTTAGTCAGAGTCTAGGTTAAGTCCTGAGGTGTACAGGGGTTTTTTAGCACTATATGTGGAAGGAAACATCAGGGCAAAGAACAGCAAGCCTGGTAGGATCAGTCTTTCTTGACTGATCTCAGTTTTAGAGGATTTGGGGTATGCTGAAGCTTCCATTTGGAAGGTTTCGGGTCGTCCTGTGGAGGTGCTGGCTTGATGTGAGATGCGTGGATCCAAACTGCAATACCATCAACTTTGAGGGCTGTAGGTGTCATAAGAAGCACAGTGTAGGGTTCCTTCCAGCGAGGTTCAAGGTTCTGGGACCAATGTCTCTGAATGTACACAGAATCGCCAACCTGGAACAGATGCGAGATCTCCGGATGCCCAGGCTGGTAGGCAGCAGCTAGGGACCTTGACTGGTCAATGAGAAGGAAGAAGAAACCAGCTGATGAGTGACCTCCAGTCTCTCTGACATTCAGTGTGTGATTATAGGTGAAGAGGGATCTGTGCAAGAATTGAGTGCATAGACAAAGCTTGAAGCTGGTAGATTCACAGTACAGAAAGGGAGAGACAGGACAGTGGTTGAGAACTTTCCTACTTCAACAGTAGCTGAGATTAGCCATGTGGAACTAGGTAATCGATTTTAGATGCTCCATAAATGTCCTGATGGTCATTTCTTGGTGTCCACAGACCAGGCAATCAAGAATCTGGACTGATCTTATTATGAAACCAAATTGCTATAGCTATATTAGTTCAACCAATATAGATAGATCAGAGTGAAACGTTGTGGCCCTGCCTAACAGGACTCTTATTTAACTGGTTTTAGATATATACCCTGAGATAAAAGGTTTGAGAAATCTTGGATGTGCTTTAATACAAATCCCTAGGTTCTGGAGTCCATGGCCATAAATCC